GGCCTCCCAAAGTGCTGGGATTTAGCTCTTCTTGTCTTCTACTCCCACTCTCCACCCACTTTTATCCCTATGCAACATGTCCTTTTTCTCTGACATTTTTTTTTAGGACTGTACTTTATGCTGTGTCTGTCTTGCATGGGGTTAATTGAGCTTCTTGGATCCGTGCGTTGATAATTTAATCAAATTCGAAAAATGTTTAGCCATCATTTCTTCAAAAAATAGCTTCTATCCTCTCTTCCACATCTCCTTCTTGAACTTCAATTACATGTATGTTAGACTGCTTGATGTTCTCACAAGTCACTGAGGTTCTTTTCATGTCAATTTTTTTTCTGTAATTCAGTTTGAACAGTTTCAATTGGACTGTTTTTCCTTCTCAATGCCCAGTCTCTTGTTAAGCACATCCGTTGAACTTTTTTTTTTTTTTTTAAATGAATGAGAGGTTCTTATGTTGCCCAGGTTGACCTTGAACGCATAGCCCTGCCTCCTCAAGCGCCAGGACAACTGGCCTGGCCACCGCGGCTCCCCCTTTTTTTTCCCCGTTGAACTTTTAATTTCAGATATTATAGTTTTTTCCTGTCTAGAATTTCCATTTGGTTCTTTTTTGTTTGTTTGTTTTGTTTAGATAGGGTCTTGCTCTGTCACCTAAGCTGGAGTTCAGTGGTGTAATCAGCTTCAACCTCCTGGGCTCAAGTGATCCTCCCACCTCAGCTGCCCAGGTAGCTGGGATTACAGGCACGTGCCACCCTGTCTGGCTAATTTTTAAATTTTATGTAGAAATGGGGTCTCACTGTGTTGCACAGGCTGGTCTTGAACTTCTGGGTGGTCCTCCCACCTCAGCCTTCCAAAGTGTTGGGATTACAGGTGTGAGCCACTTGGCTGTTTGGTTCTTTTTTAGACTTTTCATTCCTTTTCTGCAATAACTCACCTATTGCACATTGTATCCATCTTTTCCCATACATCCTTTAACACGTTTGTAATACTTTTAAAATTCCTTCTCTACTGATTCTGATATGGGTTTATTTCAGTTGGCTGTTTTTCCTGTGGGTCATGCATTACACTTCCCTGCTTTGCTATTGCATGTGTTATATTTTTAGAACTTCATTCTGGATATTGTGTATGAAAATATCCAATTATATATAATCATTTTTTAGTGTTTATATACGTATATATACACACAGACATTCACACACTTTATAGAATATGCGAGCTCCTTCCTCTGAGTAGCAGTTAGGGTTAGCGGCTGCTCATTCAGATTCCTCCTAAAGCTGAGTTGAACATGGGTTGGGCTGCGTCTTTAATTAAATTTCGCGCACTTCAGTCCAGTCCCCGGCACTTCCACTTTGAGCTTGTTAGCATTTGAGCTACGTGCAAGTTGGGCTGCAGTGCCGATTATTGCTTATTTTTATTTTTATTATTTATTTATTTTGAAACGGGAGTTTTGCTCTTATTGCCCAGGCTGGAGTACAATTATGTGATCTTGGCTCACTGCAACCTCTGCCTCCTGGGTTCAAGCGATTCTCCTGCCTCAGCCTCCAGAGTAGCTGGGATTACAGGCATGTGCCACCACACGTGGCTAATTTTGTATTTTTAGTAGAGACGGTGTTTCTCCATGTTGGTCAGGCTGGTCTCGAATTCCTGACCTCAGACAATTCGCCAGCCTCAGCCTCCCAAAGTGCTGGGATTACAGGCATGTGCCACCATGCCTGGCCTTTTATTTTTGTTTTTAGAGACAATGTTTCACTATGTTGCGCAGGCTGGTCTCCAACTCCAGTTTTTCATCTGTCAACATGAAAAAATAGAGACAAATCTCCAAGTAAAAAGGTTTTTTTGGGAATAATATACAAGAGGTAGAACTGCAATCCAGGATGTCCATACGGACTAGGGTGGCCCCCAGCATGTCTGAAAACAAAGGAAAATGTTAGGGTTCTCTTGGGGAAAGAGGAGATTTATGCAGGTTGTTTCAAAAGAAAGCTCATTGGTGCTTGCAGCGTTTTCTAGGAGAGCCAATGAGTTCAGTAGCAGATTGGCGACTGTCAGTAGTCGCTAGGTAGGTCTCGGGGTCTCGCAGTTCCTGTTAGGCCCCTGCAATTTCGGACTGGGCCTGAGAAACAGTGTCAGGCTAGTGTTCTTGTATTAGCTGCTAGCTGCCCTTGTGCTATGAGCGGCACTTGTGTCTCATGGGGTAAGCTGTGATTTGAAGACTGTTCTTGTGATAGTTATTATCTGGTAAATCATCCATGAGAACCCTCCCTTCTGCTTTTTTATATTTTATTTTTTGAGATGGAGTCTCACTGTGTCGCCCAGGCTGGAGTGCAGTGGTGGGATCTCGGCTGACTGCAACCTTTGCCTCCCAGGTTCATGTGATTCTCCTGCCTCAGCCTTATGCAGAGCTGGGACTACAGGCATGCACCACCACGCCCACCTAATTTTTTTTTTTTTTGAGACAGAGTCTTGCTCTGTTGCCCAGGCTGGAGTGCAGTGATGCAATCTCAGCTCACTGCAGCCTCCGCCTCCTGGCTTCCACTGATTCTCCTAACTCAGCCTCCCAGGTAGCTGGGATTAGAGGCACACACCACCACGCCTGGCTAATTTTTATATTTTTTGTAGAGACACGGTTTCACCATGTTGACCAGGCTGGTCTGGAACTCCTGACCTTAGGTGATACCACTCACCTTGGCCTCCAAAAATGCTACAATTACAGGCATGAGCCACTGTGCCCAGCCTAATTTTTTTGTATTTTTAGTGGAGACAGGGTTTCGCCATATTGGTCAGACTGGTCTTAAACTCCTGACCTCAAATGTTCTGCCTGCCTTGGCCTCCCAAAGTGCTGGGATTATAGGTGTGAGCCACCTTGCCCGGCCCCCTGGCTCTATTTTGCCAGGATTTGACACAGGTGACTCCATTTTGAATCTGACAATTTTCACACACCCCTAATTATGTCAGCTCGAGGTTTTTTAGATGCTTTTATCAAGTTTAAGAAGTTCCTCTCAGAGTTTTTAAATGAATGAGTGTTTAATTTTGTCAAATGCTTTTTCTGCATCAATTCATATGATCATGTGATTTCTCCTCTTTAGTCTGTTAATAGGACTGATTAAATTGATGATGATGAGGATGATGAGGATTTTTTGGGATAGTCTCTCTCTGTTGCCCAGGACAGAGTGCAGTGGTGCTATCTCAGCTCAGTGCAATCTCTGCCTCCCCGGTTCAGGCGTTTCTTTTGCCTCAGCCTCCTGAGTATCTGGGACTATAGGCATCCACCACCACACCTGGCTAATTTTTGTATTTTTTGGTAGAGATGGGGTTTCACCATGTTGGCTAGGCTGGTCTCCAACTCCTGACCTCAAGTAATCTCTGCCTGCCTCAGCCTCCCCGCAAAGTGCTGGGATTACAGGCGTGAGCCACCATGCCCAGCCCGTTGATTAATTTTTAAATGTTGAACCAGCCTTGCCTACTGGAATAAGCTCCACTTGGTTATGGTATATAGTCCTTTTTATACATTGCTAAATTCTGTTTGATAGTGTTTTGTTAAAGATTTCTGCATCTGTATTCATAAGGGACACTGGTCTGTGGTTTACTTCTCGTGGACTGGCTTTGGTTTTCATATCAGGCTGATTCTAGCTTCGCAAAATGAATTTTGAAATTCTCCCTCCTCGTCTGTTTTCTGGAAGAGATTGTGTAGGATTGGCGTTAATCCTTCTTCAAATATTTGGGAAATGTCTCCAGTGGAACCATCTGGGCCTGGAGATTTCCTTTTTGGGAGGTTTTGAATTATGAATTCAATTTCCTTAATAGCTATAGAGCTATTCAAGTTCCCTATTTCATATTGGATGAGTTGTAGTAATCGTGCTTTTTGAGGAATTGGTCCATTTCATCGAAGTTGTCACATTTAGGTGTGCAGAGCTGTCATGGCATTTCCTTCTGTGGCTGTGACGCCTGCCGGCTCTGTGCTGGTGGCCCGTGTTTCGGTCCTCATCTTGGGTAGTTGTGTCTTTTCTTTGTCAGTCTTGCTGACAAGTAGGTTTGTCGATTTGATTGCTCTTTCCAGAGAACTTGCCTTTTATTTTACTGATTGGCTATAATGTTTTTCTGTTTTTGATTTTATTGATTTCCAACTTGCCCCCTTTGACATCACCCCAGAGTGGGAGGAGAACCTTGTTACTGCCAGGCTGGGGAGGAAGTCCAGGCTCAACACATGGTCTCCATTGATGCAGTGGGGGTGGGAGCCTCATTACCGCCTGACAGGGATGAAAGTCTGGCTCTGTCTGTGACCTTCTCTGACAGCACCGAGCAGGCGTGTTGGGTGCCCTGCTGCCACCTCAGAGGAAGTCTTGACTCCCTCCATGGGCTTTGCTGGCATCACTGGGGGTGGGCCACGGATGTGTTCTGGGGGGTCTGGCTGGAGTAGAGCAGTGATTGTCTAAGTCATCTGTCTGGCTGGGTCACTCTTTTCTTGGTCCTTTGCTAGAGAGGGTGTGCTTTTCTTGGAGCTTTTGTCATCTGTGCCCATTGGCATTTCTGGGTTGCTGGCTTTTCATCTCCATGTCTGAACTATGAGACAAAAAGGAAACCTGGGGAATTCACCATGTAGTTCCCGTGGTCCTGACATCCGCAGCCCATCTGCCTTCTTCTCTTTCGTTCTTAGATTCGTTTTGTAGATGACGTCTTGAGTTTTCAGTTGTATCAGTAGGAGGAACAGGAGAAAGTACATCTGCTTCATCTTCCCAGATGATTGCCAGGAAAGGGCTTTGCAGACACTTCTCATTTCACGTAAGGGTTAGTCATGGCACACGTAAAGTCGCTAGATCACGCCTGGCACACAGTAGGCTTGGATACAATGATCATTATTTTCCAATGATTCAAAGATTCTGTAATTCTCAATTTGATTATGCTAAGTGTTATCAGGCTCCAATGCCAAATTCTGAAAGACAGTATGGAACTTTCCAGGTATGGAACTTGACTTCTCTTCCTCCCACTTTTTTCTTCTCCCTGTGCCGTCCTAGGAAAATCATTGGTCCTGAGCAAACGTTCATTGCCTTATCTTGCAGAGAGCAGAGAGCACCAATCCGGTTCAAGACCACCCAATTGAACACACTCATGGATGTCCTTCGCCACAGGCCAGGATGGGTGGAAGTGAAGGAGTAAGACATTCCCCCAGCCTTGTCCCTCCTTCCCTTTGTCTCACAGGTCCTTGTCTTCCTTGGTTTTTCTCCCAGTTCCCCTGGGTGGCCACTGAGTTGTCCCAAAGTGGCTGTGACAGTTATTCAACACCCGCAATGTGCCAGGCACATTATTGCTATCATCTGTGTCTTATTTAAGGCTTTCAGCTAAACCCGTAAGATAAGACTATGTTCAGAGTTATTACACCAATTGCTTAAGGTCACACAGCATGTCAGCATCAGAGCAGGATTCAAACCCAGGCACGTTTGTGTCCTGTGGCTTTCGGCAGAGACTAGGAATGCAGCTACCACAGACCTGTGGCCTGGATTATCCAGTGACGTGTCCAGATCAAGGACTGCTCATCCCTGGGCACTTGCTGGCTGTGTGACTTTGGCCCGTCAGCCCACATTTCTTCTTTTATGCTGGCCTCTGGTGATACTGATTGAGACAAACCAGCATGTGATGCCAACACAGAGTAGGTGCTGTTAGTGAGGGCTAAGGTTTGGATGCATGCAATGGAAGCCCAAAGTAAAAGAGGCTTCAACTTGCTAGAAGTTTATCTGTCCCATCGAAGTCCATATGTAGGAGGTTCAGAGATGGTAAGGGGGCCCCACAGAAATGTGGGATCCATTTGCTTCTGTCTTTCCACTCTACTATCCCTTAGGTGAGGCCCTTGTTTTTCGTAGTTCAAGGTGGAGCTCCTGCCTTGCTTTCACATTCCAAACAGCAGGAAGTAGGCAAGAGGCAAGAAAAGGTATAGGCCAGGTACAGTGGCTCACATCTATAATTCCAGCACTTTGGGAGGCTAAGGTGGGAGGATCGCTTGAGTCCAGGAGTTCAAGACCAGCCTGAGCAATGTGGCAAGACCCTGTCTCTACAAAAAAATTTTTTTTAAAGTTAGCCAGATATGGTGGTGTGTGCCTGAAGCCCCAGCTACTTGGGAGGCTGAGGTGGGAAAATTGCTTAAGCCTGGGAGGTTGAGGCTGTGAGGCTGCAGTGAGCTATGATCACGCCACAGCACTCCAGCCTGGGTGACAGAGTGAGACCCTGTCTCAAAAAAAAAAAAAAAAAAAAAGAAAAGAAAAGAAAAAGAAAGAAAAGGCAAGCCCATCCATTGAAGGACACAACCCAGGAATCTCTCACGGCTCACTGGCCAGACCTTAACCGTGTAGCCACACCTAGCTACAAGGGAATCTGGCAAATGTAGCTTTTATTCTAGGAAATATAGGCTACGTTTTCCCAAGTAAATGCTGAGAATTCCTTTACTGTAGAGAAAGGGGAAGGGATAGGAGGGGTAGCTGCCCTGCTGCGTGGTGCTGAGAATTCCTTTACTGTAGAGAAAGGGGGAAAGGGATAGGAGGGGTAGCTGCCCTGCTGCGTGGTGCTGAGAATTCCTTTACTGTAGAGAAAGGGGAAGGGATAGGAGGGGTAGCTGCCCTGCTGCGTGGTGCTGAGAATTCCTTTACTGTAGAGAAAGGGGAAGGGATAGGAGGGGTAGCTGCCCTGCTGCATGGTGCTGAGGAAGTGTTTGCTGCTACAACACCTAAGCCTGCTGGACGCTGTAGCAGTTTGCATGCATATCTTTTAAGCATCCCAACACAGCTTCCAGGTAGGGGTTATCATCATCCCCATTTTACTAATGAGAAAACTGGGCACAAAGTAGTGAAAATGCCATGTTTGAGGTCACTCAGCTTATGAGGGCTTGGGCTGGGATTTGCACCTAGTCCGTTGCCTACAGAGCCACAGCCTCATCTTTCAGTGGCTTCTCAGTGGATTAAAGCATCAGATTAGCAGGTGTTATAAATCTGTGATTCCCACTGCCTGGTGCTCAGTCCAGCAGGAAAGCTTTACTAAAGCATCCCAGAAAAAATTAGGAGTTGGCTGTGGGGCAGGTAACCCAAGACACCAGCGTCCTCTTTTTAGGGCTTTGGGGAATATTACAACAGTGACAGTGATGTTGATGGTGTGGTGATGTCAGCCCTTGTGGATTTGCCTTCTTGGTTCTCCTGTGATCATGCTAATATCAGCCTGGGGTTTCCTTCCCTGGATCCAGAGGAACTGATGTCATGAAAGGTGTGTGGGGGAGTTGGGAGGAGAGTTCAAGGAGAGTGAGGTGACTGGCAGGTGGGGGTGATGTAGGGGAGGGAGAGCAATGTCACCACCAGCTGTGTGACCTCTGTCCACTTCCTGCCGCTCCCCAGCCTGTCCTCCATGGGCAGGGGAAGAGAGTCTGAGGATTTGTCTGGTGCTGACAGGGTGGGAGCCCAGGAAGCAGGATTCTCCATGGTTGATCCCAGATTATCTCAAGGATCCTTAAATCAGGAAGGGCCCAGAGGCCAGGGTCTTTTCCTTCAACACAGCTCTGTGAATCCAAGGCCTCATCCTTTAGGACCTAAGCTGGGTCTGGGATTTCCAGACAGAATCAGGTCTCAGTTCAGACTGCCAGCCCATCAGGTCAGTTTAGATCGGATGTGGCTAGAGCTGTCCCTTCCCTTGCTTTGCCTGAGAAAGATACATGACACCTTGGAACGGCAGCAGCCGTCCTCTGACCCCCGAGGTGATGAGCCTGAGGACAAGTTAAGGATGGCAGAATGGATGCTTCCCTGGCAGGGGAAACGCCATGATTGGAAGGAGGTTTTCTCAGGGCAAGACTCATGTATTCCACTCCAGATGTGCTCAGCCCTGCGATTATCTCCAACGTGGGAAACTCAATTGTGTCATTTATGATGATCGGAGACTGGGAAGGCAGAAAGAACCTGGATCTCCACTGACCTTGTTAAGCAATTTGGTGTCTTCCTCGGTGAATTAAGAGCAACTTGATTGTGACAGTCATGAAAATGGTGTGCACAGGAATGAACTTCTGGTCTCAGAACAGGAGACAAAATCCGTCCTGTGACCTCCACAGCCCTGCTTGATTGGGTCCTGCCCGACTTTTCAGTGTTGTCTCGGACTTCTTTCCTTCTGCCCTGGCGTTTCTTTGTGTTCTTGAACATGCTCTTCGCAACCTCAGGGACCCAGGCCCTGCTCTTCCCCCTGCTACAACCTGCTCCCCACTGCCGTTGACCAGGCTGCTCCTCCTCACCCTTCAGATCTCAGCTGAAAGGTCCCTTCCACAGGGTGACTCCACCCAGCATAGGTCCCTCAGCCACCCTGCCTCACGGCCTCTACTGGACTGCGTGGCGGTTCACTTCACAGTTCTTCATTAGAGTTGTTTGTTTCCTTGTTCACTGTTAATCTTCCCCGGAGGGTTGTGTGCACCACCTGGCAAGGTGTTCTGTCTCCTCCTGTATCACTGGCATCCAACATGGTCTCTGACACAGAGCTAACCTCAACACATACATATTGGAAAATGTATGAATGAATGAATGAATGGTAACATGTTGTTTACTCATTCATCCATTTATATGAATATACAAGCCTTCTGCTGGGTGCTGGAGGAGGAGTGAGGCATGGGTCGTTAGCCCAGTTCATACACTCATATTGCTTAAAAGCCAGTGTTATTTTCTCATGAAAACAGAGCCTCAGAAAACAGCTCTTGAACTGACAGACTTCCCCAGTCTTCCTGGTCAGGGGACAGACCCCAGGGTATTGATGGCAGCAAAGGTTCAAGTTGAGAGATCTGGAGATTACCTTTTGCAACTCCATCCTTTATCTCTTTGGACATTTTTTCTCTCAATTTAAAATAGCTATTTTATTACTTTCTTTTTATTTTATTATTATTTACTTATTTATTTTGAGACAAGTTCTCACTCTGTCACCCAGGCTGAAGTGCAATGGTGTGATCTTGGCTGACTACAACCTCTGCCTCCTGGGTTCAAGTGATTCTCGTGCCTCAGCCTCCCAAGTAGCTGGGACTGCAGGCGCATGCCACTATGCCTGGCTAATTTTTGTATTTTTAGTAGACATGGGGTTTCACCGTGTTGGCCAAGCTGTTCTCAAACTCCTGACCTCAAGTGACCCTCCCACGTCGGCCTCCCAAAGTACTGGGATTACAGGTGTGAGCAACCACACCTGACCTTATTACTCCATTTTTAGACTTGATTATTTTAACAAACTGCATGTCGAACTTAATTTTCCCATTCTTTTTAAATTAAGAAATAATATATCTAAAATAACCATTTAAATATACAATTGTGGCTGGGCACAGTATATGTCTGTATATATTGTGTATATATATATACAAATTTATGTATACACACACACACACATACGATTTCATGTCTTTTAGTATATTCACCAAGTTGTGTAATCATCACCACTTTTTTTTTTTTTTGAGATGGAGTTTTACTCTTGCTGTCCAGGCTGGAGTGCAATGGCACGATCTCGGCTCACTGCAACCTTTGCCTCCTGGGTTCCAGCGATTCTCCTGCCTCAGCCTCCCAAGTAGCTGGGATTACAGGCATGCACCACCACACCCAGCTAATTTTTGTATTTTTAATAAAGACGGGGTTTCACCACGTTGGCCAGGCTGGTCTCAAACTCCTTACCTCGTGATCCGCCCACCTCAGCCTTCCAAAGTTCGGGGATCACAGGTGTGAGCCACCATGCCTGGCCAATCATCACCACATTTTCCCCCCACATACCCGCTGTGTCAAAAACACTATCTAATTCCAGAACATTTTCATCAAACCAGGAATAAACCCCATACCCACTAGCAGTCATTCCCGTTTCTCCCTCCCTGCAACCCCTGTCTTGGGCCCTGTCTCTATTCTGGACACATCATGTAGTGGAATTACACAATATATAACCTTTTGCCTGTCGTCTTTCACCTAACATATTGTTTTCAAGGCACATCCATGTAGCAGTATGTATCAGTACTTCATTCCTTTTTTCGTTTCTTGTTTTGTTTTTATTTTGAAACAGGGTCTCACCTTGTCACCCAGGCTGGAGTGCAGTTGCACAATCATGACTTACTGCAACCTCAACTTCCTGGGCTCAAGTGATTCTCCTGCTTCAGCCTCCTGAGTAGCTGGGACTTCAT